TTACACTTGAGGTCCATGGCTGCCATCCCTCCAAACAGGAGCAGATGGTCCCTTCCACCTTCCATTTGAGGACTCTCCCTCTCCTCCGCAACTTGCAGATGGCCCCTTAAACCTCCTCTGCTTAATCAGTGGACTCTTCCAATCTGACCTATTGCAAATGGGTCTAGCGATGTGAAAAGCTAACCGGTTAACCTTAATGTGTGATGCTTACCAGTTCTGCCTAACTGATGGGGGCTGGAGCAGCTCCTCACCCACCGCACACAGAGGGCTACTTCAGCCCTGTGTGGCCCACCTCAAACAGGGGCCGCGGACTGCCGGAGCAGCCCCTGTTCATGATATGTTAGGGCTTGTTGCAGGCAGGAAGGCCACTTCATCCTGACTACGCGCCACCCCTCAACCTTTAATCAGTTAACCATCGCATTTAACCAGTTAATCAATTAAATGGGATTTCACCTCCCTACTAGTGGTTACGCAGGATTATGCTCCACTCCCCACCCCATACTGGCACGTGGACCCTTCCTGCCCTCCCCTGGAGAGGAGTGGTTCCCTATTACTGGCAACTGGATCCTACCGCTCCACTCCTACTTATGGCGGGTGGACTCTTCTACCCTTGTTTCACCCTCCCCCGCTGAGGATTTTCTCCCTTCAACCCCAGTGCTGGCAGGTGGACTCTTTCACCCCCTCAGTAATGCAAGTGTGTTCTTCCACCACTCAATGCACAGGATTTAACCCCCCATACTGGCAAGTCAACACCAGTCTCCCAGGTGAGCTCTTCTACCTCCCCCACTCCTTTAATACACGGGACTTAATTCTCTCGCCAGTACTGGAGGTAGACTCTTCCCATTACTGCCAATTGGGCTCTTCCACTCCCCAATGCATAAGGTTTAATTACCCCCCTCCCCCGCACCATACTAGCAGTTAGACTCCTCCACCTCATAGATTTAAACAACCCCTCAGTATTGCATGTGGACACTTCCACCACCCAGTACTGAGTACTGTGATTTTTTTCTCTCATTGATACTCACTGGAAAGAAGGGGGCCGGGAGTCACCGATGCCACTGGTCCTCTCCACAGGCAGTGGAGGTAGGGGAGGTGGTGGCGGTGAGGACTCCGGTCGGGTCTCTGCAGGTGTCAGCACTGGCTCGGGCTGGGGGGTCTCCGAAGACACCAGCTTTGGAGGGTGGGGGAATACGGATATGTGAGGAACCTTGGACTGAACCATGATTCCTGAGCCAGAAACACCATTTTCCCCTTCCTGGGGATAGTCTAATTTGTGTGAGGGAAATGACCATACTGTGGAGGACGGAGGGGGGGGAGGGGGAAGAAGAAGCAGGTGGGATACCAAGCTAAATAGCCCCACAGACCTCACCGGGGAAGGGGGGCAAGATTCTGGGCTAAATAGACCCACACGAGCTTAATCAGTGCTGGGGATTTCTACAACTCAACTTCCTCTAATGAGGAGAACAACCCACACATTCATACCCATGAAACGACTCTCCCGTTGAAACATGGCAGCTTTGCATTGTCATCTGAAATCTCCTCTTTGACAACCCTATTGAGAAATGGGAACAGGTTAGAGCAGCAGTGTATCCAGGCATCCCTCGCCTAGTGCAGAGATGCTGCCACCTCTGGGTACAGAACTGGCTGTTTATACAGAGATCCCTCACTTGGTGTAGAGATGCAGCTGCCTCTGGGGTGGGGCACTAGAGCCATTTAACAGACATCACACAACAATTTAAAGGACTGTTCTGTTTGTACAGCGCCTAGCACAATGAGATCTCAGGCCCTGGAACCTGAAGCATACAAATAATTACAATAACACTCATGGATATGCAGAGGAAATTTAGAAAAGCTCAATGGAATAAACTTGGCTGGAAATTCAGCCAAGACATCGGAGTTCAAATCATTACAAACAATTTTGAGGGGCATGGAAAATACCACCAAAGGATTTACCATCCTCTGATGGGTCTGGTTATTTTAATCAGCATACATGAGTAGCTCAAATTCAGATTACCACAAGTTGGGGTAAATGTTTTAAACAGTAGGAAAGTGAATTTAGAATTGCTCACAAGGGTATGTCTGCACTTGCACCCCCTTTTGAGAGCGGGATGCAAATGAAGACTTTTGAAATTGCAAATGAAGCCGGGATTTAACTATCCCATGCTTCATTTGCATATTTGCGTTATGGCGCTATTTCGAAATAACAGACACTGTTAAGACGCAGTTATTTCGAGAGAAAACCCTTCTCTTGAAATAACCCTTATTCCTCATACAATGAGGTTTACCAGTTATTTCGAGAAGGGTTCTCTCTCGAAATAACCACATTGTAGCACTATTTCAAAATAACAGATGCTGTTATTTCAAAATAGCGCCATAATGCAAATATGCAAACGAAGCACAAGATATTTAAATCCCGGCTTCACTTGCAATTTCGAATGTCTTCATTTGCATCCCTCTCTCGAAAGAGGGTGCAAGTATAGACATACCCTCGATGAATAAAAAGATTTACGCTTTCCATTTTTTTAGCTATTCATTCTGTTTTCAAGACTATTTCAATTCTGTATCTATTTTAATGACTGTATCTATTATAATGACTTTCCTTTATAATCCAATGTCTGTACTTTCAGTGTTCTTAGTGACCAATAAGTCCAAATGTATAACTGATATTGTTGCCAAAAAAAACCACCAACCACTCAACCCCCTCAAAAAAACAAAACAAACACACATCATTTTTGGGCTGCATTAACTAGGGATGTAAAAAGTTAACTGGTTAATCAGTAAGCCTCACTACATGCAACCCCCCACATTGCCCTTTCTATGCAAAGCTGAAGAAGGGGTGCTGAAGGACATGGCGCAAGCCAGGACTGCCAGCATGCCTGCCCGCTAGCTCTGAAAATCCTTTCTATGCAGAGTTGCAGCGGGGGTAGCTGCTGGACCTGGCGCAAGCCAGACCTGAGGCAACATGCCTGCCTGCTGGCTTTGAAAGTTCTTCTAGTGCAGAGCCACAGCGGGGTACTTGCGGGGATCCAGCTCCAGCTGTGACTGAGTGCCTGCAATACTAACCCCAACTGATTAATCGTGTAACCAACAAAATGTTTGTCGACCACATGATTAACAAATTATACAAAGGATGCAAGCAAGTAGTCAATTACCCGATAAGCTTATGCCTATCAGGTAGTGAGTACTCAACTACTCGCTCCCCAAACCCCATTGCTGCCTCTGTATGAGAGGCAACAGGGTGGTGGTGGTGGTGGAACTGGAGCCAGTGTTGGGGGAAGCCAGCTTAAAAGCCAGTTTCCACCAGCACTTCTCCCCACTGATGCTTCTAGTGGGCAGGGAGGTGGAGTGCAGGGAGATGGAGTGCAGGAGTTATAGGTTGGACTTTAAAATAATTACATAAAATAATCACATTTTACCAATCCTATTTATACCATATTTGCATGTACATATAATTCAGTACCTCATATTGCATTATTTACCATTATGCTGTCCATTATAACCTCAAAGCTAAATAGCACTTATCCCCACAACTACTTTAGTCACAGCTCAAGACAGGGGTGGTACTGTGCATTTATACAGAAGTGTCAAGCCTTGACACTTGCATATGTTAATGACAATTTTGAATTACAATTAATCAACATTGTTATTCAGCCCCCACTATTTATGGGTGGCTAAACCCATTGTGGGTTCTTATGGTGCCCACGCCAGTGCCTAGTTGATGTTACTGATAATACTTTTTAGTTGGGAGTGTATCAATTTACACCACCATCCTGACATCGTCTTCTCTTTTCCAGCTCCACTGCGTAATCGTATTAACCATGAAGTGGCCTTTATGGATATTTAAGACCATCCCATACCCACTCAACAGAGTAGTCAATTATTTTTGGCCAAGGAGAAAATTAAAAGCATAACCATCTTCACAATAGTAATTGAAATAAAGATTGTGGGGTCCAATCGAGAGCACTGGGTGGTCCAGATACAGCTCATCTATGGACGACACCCCCCCGCCATGCTATCCTATACCTGTATTGGGTGGGGTGGGGGCAGCCGAGATCCCTCCCCATGGCTGAGACACCTGTGAGGACCGAGGAGAAGGGGAAGTCCTGGACAGGGGTCCCCAGGCACAGCGGTGATTTGCTCCCCACACAAGCAGAGGTGTGAGACAGGAGGTGCCCCAGGGGAAGGTGAGGGAGAAGGCGGGACACCCCAACACTTACCCCCCCCCCGCCCCGGAAAGGGATTCCCCAGACGCCTGCCCCCACCCGAAGGGGGCGGGACTCCCCCAGAGACACCCCCCAAAAAAGGGAGTAAGAGGGCGGGGCTCCCCGGACGCCTGCCCCCCCCCCGAGAAAGGGGCGGAGCTCCCCAGACGTATAGCCCCCCCCAGGAGAGGGGGCTCTCCGGACGCCTGGGTCCCGCACCCGAAGTCCTGGTCCATGCTCTTGAAGAAGTACTTGGCGCCGGGCCGGCTGAGCGCCGCCTTGACGTGGCCCAACGTGATGCGCTCGGCGGGCACCGGGATCTTCACCAGGTACGGAGTCTCCTCCTCGTCCAGGTGGTAGATCACTTTGGTCTCGCCTGCTCCCCCCGCCGCCATGGTACGGCCGGGACCCGCGCCCCTGCGCAGACAGAGCCAGACGGGAGCGAATCAACCCTGCGCAGTGGCAGCGGCGGCGCACACGACGCACCCCTCCCGCTGCTGTACTCTCCACTCGCGGCTCCTGACGCTACCCACGGGCCGCCGCCACGCACAGCGTGCGGGCGTCAGAGCCGCGACGCGCGCGCGGGCCTAAGGGGACGCCTTTTCCTTCCCCCGTCACGTGACGGAGATGACGCCTAAGGTGGGAGGGCTGTATGGGGGGGTGCTTCCGTCGCGCTCAGCCCGCCGTCGCACGCAGCGGGCTGACGTCAGCGCGCCTCGCTCGCGCAGCTGTAGGCTGCCGTTACGGGGAAGCTGCAGAGCAGTGAGGGGACCGCCCTGGCGGGGCGGGGCCAGAGCGGAGGAAGGGATGTGGGGCAGAATGGGCGGTAAAGGGGGCGCCTGTGGGAGTCGGCGGCGACGTGGGGATGGGGGCAGAGGGCGGCGCTGGTGGAAGCTGCGCGTATCGGTCACAGCCCACTAAGTGGGATTGGGAGGAAGGGAGGGGCCGCAAGACCCGAGCTGCTTTCCCCTCCTTGGCTGCAGGCAGGACACAGCACGGAGGAGCGTGATCAGCTGTTACAGCTTCCTGCGGACCCCAGGTACGGCTACAACACCCCTTTTCACAAGGGGAAACTGAGGCAGGGAGTGGGCACATGAGTGCTGCACCCTGTGACAGTTTTGGGAATCTCAATCCCTTGTACGCTTGGTTGCTCTTTAGGGCTGTCTGGCACCTTGACTTGTGACCTAAGACCAGAGGCTTCTAGCCCTTATTGGCCTTGGGCAAAAGATTCCTCCCTCCTTCATGTTTTAGTTTCCTCTTCTCATAGGGAGATATCCACCACCTCCAAGTGGAGCTCTAGCAATGATAAAAGCTGCCCGTTGTCTGGGTCCCCAAGAGAAGAGGGATTATTTTGGTTTTGTTTGGACACTGCTTAGGAAACTCCCCTCTCCACACACACTTGTCTTAAGTGCTGCTGAAATATAAATAATAAACAATTATCAGCTGACATTCCAGCTGACCCCAAAATGATTCCTCCCAAACTTGGGAAGAACTGTGAGCTGTGGCAAAGAAAGAAATGGGGTGTTTACAGCAGGCCCTACAAAAACCTTGATCCTGACTTTCTCCATTAGGGATCCAACCTCACCTTTTCCCAATCTAGGGACCCAGTGACAATCACCACCATAGCTCCATCACGCATGCCTCCCTGAGTAGTACCAGCTCCCCTGCCCATTTTGTGTGTGCTCTAGGGCAGCCTCCTCCATCCTCATCTGCTCCTTTCTAGAGGGGTTAAGCTATGGGAGTTAGCATCCCTGGGTGGAGGAGACTCATGCTCAATTTCTCACTCACTGAGCTAGCCAGTCCCTGTGCTGAGGCCAGATGGGAGCCAGCATCCCCTAGAGGGGACAGGCCCTGTAGGTCCCTTCATCCACCACCAAGTTGGGGAACAGGGTCTTTCAGAGACTGCTTGCCTGATACAGAAAAGAGGGCAGCTCCATTCTGTACAAACGCAAAAGGGTCCACATTATTTATTTACATTCAAGCTGCAAAATATTATTAAACAAAGGGGGGGGGGTAGGAATTGCACCCCACCCACTCAAAAAGAAACAGATTAAAGAGCAGTCTAAAGGGGATGGGGGGGGGGAAGCAAGGCCCAGTGCTCCTCCCCCACCATTTTATTCTGGAGCCCAGCCACCTTTGCAGCATTTGGACTCCCTGCTCTTCAATCTGCACCTCTCTGTTCAAAGACCCCCTCCTTAGAGTATCCCCACCACGGGGCTGTGTCCCCTCTCCACTGGTGACAGCCGCACAGCAGCAGGCAACACCCCTTCACTGCTTGGAGGGAGAATATTTTGAACTTATAACCCCTTTCTTTCTAGCCAGAAAAACACTCTCAAGGGGAACTTTGCCACCCCCCTTTTGTTGATCTGGCTCCCTCCTCTTGCCAAACCCCACTTCCTCAATATCGTGGGGAGTGGGAGCAGGAATAAAAGTCTCCACTTTCAAACAGAAAACGAGGGAAGAAGGGGTGAGATTAAAAAACACTCAAAATAAACCCCCCCACTTTCCTTCTATTTACAGTCAAGGGGGGGACTCCCCCTTTTACCCCCCTCAATCTCTCTCCCCATCCATTGGGGTTGGAAAAAACAGCAGCTCTTAATTTCACCCTTCCATCCATCAGTTTCACTCCCCCTTGGAGTGAAGGGGGAGACTGCATGGGTGAGCGTCTTTCTCCCCTCTACTATAGAGGGAGCTTTGAACCCCTAGAGGCAATTGGGGGGGAAGAAATGACAGTCCAGCTGGGCTCCACACAGCAGCCCCCCGTGGGGGCTGGTGGAAGGGGAAGAGTGGGGCCAAGTCTCTAGGGCTCTCCCCCGCCCCGGGGAGCTGGTGCAGCTTTCCGTGAGCTCTCTTTGCACTTCTGGCAGTAGAAGATGTCCGGGACGTTGGTCTTTTTGATCTTGGCACAGGAAAGATGGATCCAGGTGCCGCACTGGTTGCACTCGATCATGGGCCTCCCGGCGAAAGGTTTCTGGCAGTAGCAAGTGATCAAGTCCCACGAGTCATCCCCTGAGGGGGCAGCAGAGACAACCTGGGGGTCAGGGCCTAGAGTGGAGAACTCTAGAGACACAGCTTCCCCTCTAACACTGCCCCACTGGCATCCAAGCTCTCCCATACCTATAATAGCCCTGTTCTCAATGGCATCAGAGCTCCCTCAGCCCTGCCCTACTGCAAACAGTTCCCTTAGCCCCCTTTCTCACCACTATACCTAGCCTAGTCCCACCACATTGGCACTGCAGTTCCCATAGCCCTGCTCCATTGCAAACACAGTTCCCCTGGCCTCCCTTCAACCCCATACCTAGCCTAGCTCCACCCTATTGGCTAAGTAGCTCCCATAGCCTCCTCCCTTTACTGTCATAACTACCCTAGCCTCATCTGATGACATTAGCCCCACACCATTGCCCTCATAGCTCCCCCCAAACTTGTCTCATTGCAAACACAGCTTTCTCCTAGCTCTGCCTCTTCACCCCCATGCCTGGCCTAGCCCTGTCCTATTGGCATCACAGTTCTCCTAACCCCATCCCTTTACCCTCCCAACTAGCCTAGTCCTGCCTCATAGGTATCAAGCTCCCCCAGCCAGCAGGGCATGACAGCCCCAGCTGCCCCAGGATGTGACTGACACCCCAGGCTAAGGCACAGAGACCCCTCCCACCTCAGCTCCATGCTTCAATGCCAGGTTCCCATTGCTGATGGGTGTTAAGACAGCAGAGGACAGATTAAAAAACAGACTTGGAGCCACAACTCCTAGATTCTCTCCCTGTGTTCTTAGAAGGAAGTGGGTTTGGTGGGGTGAGTGCAATATGAAATGGGGATAGATGGAAGTAGAACAGAAAGATAAGTGAGAGCCTCTTCTGGGAAGGGACGACACAAGACATTCAGAAATGGTATGGCTCTTGCCAATCCCCAGCTCCTATCTGATGGTTGAGCTAGACAGGAATGTTTCAAAAGCCCATTTCAATAGCTCCAGCTAGCTCATGACACAGAGCTGGGCTGCAGGGTTCTTCCAACTCTTCCCCCCTTGGAGAAAAACCTATCAGGCATTGTTTGCCCAGGCATCTCTATGGAAGATGGAAATCTGGGATGGCAGGGTCCCAGATGCTAGGGAAGCTATCAGTCCCAGTGAATCATGGGAGAACACAAGACACAGGCCAAACCGGGCAGGATCCTCCCTCACCCCAGCCTCTCACCTGACTCCACCATGATGTCTTCATCCATGACCCGCATCTCGCCCTCGCTGGAACTGCCATCCCCGTCCTGGCTGGTCTCAGTGCTGCCGCACTCCTTGCCCTCCCCACCATCCCCTCCCCCCAGTTTAGGCTCCAGGAAGCCACCTTCAGGCAACAGCTCCTCTGGGGAGGGCACCTCCTCCTCGCCCAGGCCCAGTCCTGCCCCAGGCAGCGCCACTGCCTCCTCCTCTTCTGAGTCCGTCTCACTCAGGGAGGCCTTGAGCTTCCTCTCGGCCTTTTTCAACTTCCGTTTCTTGCTCTTTTTGATACGCGAGCGTTTCTCACCCGCCGAGTCCCCCCGACTGCGCCTGGCTGCTTCGGGGATTGCCCGCCGGTTCCGTTTCTCCTTCTTTTTGTCCCCCGGAGAACCGGCCTTGGGTGCTGGCAGCTGCCGGGCAGCGGGATCCAGGTCGAAGAGTGAGTCCTTGAGCTTCATCTTCTCCAGCAAAGAGTTGTCCGCCTTCAGACGGCGGAAGGCCTTCTTCTTGGAGGACTTGGCCTTCTTGACAAAGGTCTCAATGGTGTGCAGGTCTGAGTGAGTTGACTCCCAGCCGTCACTGTCCGCCACGCTCTCTGGGCGCAGGGGGGAGCTGGAGCCCGATGGAGTCCAATCACTCTCCTGGTGGATGGAGATTAGAAAAGGGTTGGCAGGGAGAAGTGGAGTTAGCTCTGGTGTGGTTCCTGGGCTGCCTGTCCATCAAGAAGTGGGATCCAGGCTGTCAGTGAATGGGGGGGGGCGCATTGGCTGCTCTCCCAACATGCAACGGGGTCCAGGTCAGGAGAGGGTGTTGGCCACTCTCTGAGCGCAGAAGACCCAAACTCATGGGATGGTAGGAGGAAGTCCCTAGACTACCTAGATGACACCTCCCATCATACCACTTGGGCTGGGACCTGCATGAAGGCTTCAGGGGCAGAACTGTGCATTATGGAATTGGTAGCCTCAGCCACCCCCTATTTCCACTCCCATGCCATGCAGACAAAAACATGCCACCAAAACACTTCCCAGCATGCAACACTCCCACCAGCTAGGCCTACAGCCTGCTGGGATGTATAAATCTCTGTTTGTCAGGGTTGCCAGAGAGACTACAAGTCCCACCATGCAATGCTTTGTGGGACAGGCTGCCTGTGCAGACATGTCTGGGCAGCTGAGCTTAAAACACTACAGCTCCCATAGTGCTATGCTCCAGCCTCTCAGCTAAATGGCTGGGTTGCAAAGCACGCTGGGACATGTAGTTTTCTGAGGCCAAAGCAAAAGGGGTGGCAAGTGGAAAAGCCTACAAACCCCAGAATCCTCTGGGGTGGAGGGGAAACACCAAGAAGGGCATGCTGGGACATGTAGTGGCCCACAATGGGACATGTCAGGCTGGGAACTGTCTAGACCCTCTTGTGTTGTTAAATCAGGGGTGGAGAACATTTTGGGTCCACAGAAAAATCAACTGGGGGCCACACACAAGTGAGAAGCAAAAAAAAACTACAAATCCTCGCTGATGTTCCCCTGACTGAGAAGGGGAAGACATTCTCCACAGTCCCCTCACGCACCAGAGCCCTCTCCCAACAAGCCTAGTAGATTTTGTGTGCACCAGCCCCATGGTAGGGCAATGGGAAGGGGGGCTGGAACGTGGGCTCCCCAGTGTTGGGGAGAGGGGTCCCTGAGCCTTGGGGGCTGGATCCAGGCAAACCGGGGGCTGCATCTGGCCCCTGGGCCTTAGCTTCCCCCACTCCTGTGTTAAATGGTCAACTCTGGGCGAGCCTGAGTGAGCCAGTCCCCTTCCTGGGGCTGGATGGAAGTTGGCACCCTGTAAAGGGGAGGCCCCATGCACCATTCCCTGTCCCTCCTTAGCCAGCCAGTCACCATCCTGGGATCTGATGAGAACCAGCGCTCTCTAGAGGACCTCCCTGATCCAGATAATCCCTGGCTTGGGACTAGATAGGTCCCACATGAATGACATCTCCTGGGGCTCACCTCCTTAGTGGACGGGATGTAGCCAGCGTAGGCCAGGACGAAGCTGCAAAATTTATTGAAGTCCTCAATCGTTCGCCGCCGCTTCTCGGGGGGCTGATAACAGAGACTTATTAGGACGAGTGAAATGCATTCTCCCACCCACCCACAGAGCCACCCCACCTGTTCTTACTTCAAGGCCTCCTGGGGTTAACTGCACCCCAACATACCAGAACTCAGGAGGCATGGAGAGAGGTCAGGGCTTGTCTGAAATATCACACAGCAAAGCCAAACCAGAGTTAGAACCTGAGTGTCCTGGCTCCCAGCCCTGCTCCCACTACTAACCATTAGAGCCCATTCCCCAACCTGAGCTGGGAGCCAGGATTTCCGGGTTCTCTCCCTTGTTCTGGGAGAGGAGTGGGGGAGTTGGGAGCCAGGACTTCTGGGTTCTCTCCCCAGCTCTGGGAGGGGAGTCAGGGCTGGTGGGTTAGAGCAGGTGGTCTGGAAGCCAAGACTCCTGTATTTTCTCCCTGGCTCTGGGTGGGGAATGGGGGCTGGTGGGTCAGCCAGGAGGGGCTGCAGCGGCTCTGCATGTCCACAAGCCAAAGTGTTTGTTCTGTTGCAACCACATCCCATCCCAACCTCCACAGCTACCCCACCCAGTAGCCATTCTCAAAAGTGTGAGGGACATCAGTCCCCCTCTGTTCATTGTGGGACCCCAGATGGGGGTGGGTGGGGAGAACCAGGACTCACCTGCGTCTCCGCTTTGAGGCTCGGAGGTGGGTCTGGAAAATAACGGGTGGGTAAGTTTGGGGGGGCTCTAATCCCTTCCCTCATCTGAGGGCAGCAGCCTTCCTCCCCTTTTCCCTCCCCCCCACTGCCCTCCCAGTTCCCTGGTTTCTGGGAGCCTCTACCCACTTGGGGGCCTGGGCCTTTATTCCCCCCCCCATTCCCATTCAAGAGGAGGAGCTAAACCTCATTTCCCTGACTTCAATTCACATACAATCCATCACCCTGAGACCACTGTCCACTCTGAAGGAGAGACTCCCCAGCATTTCCTCTCTCCCCCCAGACTGAGCCTGTCCCATGGAGGGGACACCGTTTACTCCCCACACCAATCTATCCATCTCAGGCCCTGCATTTCTCCCTGTGCAGCCCCCCACGTAGACACCCCAGATATGGGAGAAGGCTGAAGAGAGAAAATGTCCCTGGGGAAAGGAACATGCACTCCCCCGCCCCCAGCTAGGAGCTCAGGGTGTGGCCTGGCTCCTTTCCAGATCTGCCTTCCCCAAGCTCCTCCCCCCTCACTCTTTATAGGGACTGCCCCTCCATCAGCTCCCCCACCCCCTTTCACTGCCAGCTTCTCCCTTTCTCCTCCACCACTACCCCACCCTCACTGACAACTTCCCCACCCCCAGCTCAATCCCAGTCCCCACCCAGCCTCCCCTCCAAACTTAAATTTTTACCCCTCCAACTCCACTTTCCTCCAGTCTCTCTCCTCCCACTCCTGCTATCCCTTTCCCTCACTCCCCCCCCTCCAGCTGCCCCTTCCCCAGTCTCCCCCACCTCTTTCCATTGCCAGCTCCTCCTCCTTCCTCCTCCACCATTACCCTGCCCTTAACTGACAACTCCTCCCCCTTCCAGGCTAGCCAGCCATCCCTTCCCCCCTACAGCCCAGTCTCCTGGCTTCCCCAACCCCGAGCTCCCTATCTATAATTTTCCACCCCAGCCTCTCCCCCCCACTGGCTCCAGCCACTCTCCCCAACCTACCTCCCCCCACATGCCCCATACCCCAGCCTCTCTTCCCCCCCAGCTCCTCCCCAATTACTCCACCCTCACTGACAACTTCCTCCCCCCAAGAAGCCACCCTCTCCCCCACACAGCTCAGTCTCCTGGCTTTCAGCCCCCACCCGGATTCGGCTCTCCATATTTAATTTTCCACACACCCCCAAGCTGCTTCTGCACCCCAGCCTCCCCTCACACGCAGACTCCAGCCACCTCTCTCCCCAATCTCCCCTTCCCCCCCCACACCCGTCTCTAGGTGTCCCTTCCTCCAGACAGCACCCTATAACTCTTACCCTGTGTCCACTTCAGTTTGTAGCCCCCTAAACGATCTCCCATTCCCCATAGTAGCCCCCTCACCTCTGCTCCCACTCAGGCCAGGTGGCTTCCCTCTGACCGTCCTCCACCTTCCCCATCCTGCCCCCTCCCGGTTCTCCCCGATTTCCTTTACCCCCTTCCCCAGTGTCTATTCCCTCTCTCCTTATCCATTTTCTTGCAACCCCCCACCCCATGGCCAGCTCTCCTGAAGCACCCATCCCCCTCCTTCCACAGCTCCTCCGAGTCCCGCCACCTCCTACGGTCCGGTCTCCCTCCCCAACTCGCCTCTCCCAGTGTCTCCCTCCCGTCCCTCGCTTTCCCCCGCATGCTGCTTTGAACCTCCACCCCGTCCTCCCTCACTGCGGTGCACCCCCCCAGCTTGAGCTTACTCCTCCTGCGTCCTCCCGCCCCCCAGAGCTCCCAGCTCTCCCTCCCATGGCTGTGCCCAACA